ATACATTTTTCATACAGGAACTAGGAAAGACTCAGGGTAGCAAAATTACATTGAATCAGGCTGTATTAAAAATTTTAAAAAGGTTAATGTTTTAGGTGGGCTCTGTATTGGAGGTTTTTTCCCTTGACATTCAGACCCTGTCATCTGTCTCACAACCAGCCTGAACAGCTATAACTCTACCTGCTTTAACATTTGATTGATGGCATAGACCAGATTCATCCTTGGTGCAACGCTGCTGAGGTCAGTGGAATTACAGCAGAAGTGATACATTTGTCTCAGTCTGTTTTAACCATAGTAGACAATTACTTAACGTTTACAAAAAACACACCAAAAAGATTTGTGTGTGTGTGTGTGTGTGGGGGGGTGTCTTTGATTTTTCAATGCCTAAAAAATGTCCCCTCCTCGTTGCATGGGAGAGCATATTGGCTCAGAAAGGATCACAAGTTAAAATAGGAATTACATCCAAGACAGAAAACTAGGAATGTCAGAGGAGGCTTTCAAAGGCATAAATGTGAGGTTGGGGGGTAAACCCAGATCCCCAAGAGCATTTACATGCCTAAACTCCCAATTTGGGTTAATTCCTATTGATGTTCAATGCAGGCTTTGATCCTTTTAAAAACATTTTTTAGAGGTATATTGTTTTACATTGTAAAATCGTATAGTGCAATATACTGGGGTGGACAGGTGAGGAGGGGCAATAAGAGGCTAGTGAACTTTTGTATAGCTATTATGTAGACAACGTAATTTTCCTGGTTTTCTGGTTTTAAATAAGCTATACATTTGAAATGCATGAGAATTCAGTCACTTGTGAACAGATCTGACATCAGTGAGTTTCTCTCCTGCATGTGATTCACCGACCATAGAATAATAGAATATCAGGTTGGAAGGGACCTCAGGAGGTCATCTAGTCCATCCCTCGATTTGCTAGTAATGCCCCCAAAATGCCATTGGTCTTCTTGGCAACAAGGGCACACTGTTGACTCATATCCAGCTTCTTGTCCACCATACCCATAGGTCCTTTTCCGCAGAACTGCTGCCTAGCCATTCGGTCCCTAGTCTGTAGCGGTGCATGGGATTCTTCCGTCCTAAGTGCAGGACTCTGCACTTGTCCTTGTTGAACCTCATCAGATTTCTTTTGGCCCAATCCTCTAATTTGTCTAGGTCCCTCTGTATCCTATCCCTACTCTCCAGTGCCTCTCTTCCCAGCTTAGTGTCATCTGCAAACTTGCTGAGGGTGCAGTCCACGCCATCCTCCAGATCATTAGTGAATGATGTTGGAGAGTATAAGAGGAATTAATGCTAAAGGCTGAGAACATCTTCATTTTGTGAAGACAGCTTCCCTACTTGAGCTGCTGAAGAGCATTCACAGTTGAAAAACTTCCCCATCCCTTGGCTCAGACACTGATGAGCCTGTGTGTCTGAAGAGCAAAATCTTAAGGACAAGGCAGACGACGTGGGATCCTCATCTGGGGCCCTACAGAGTGCTGTGCATTCTGGACCCAATCCAGCAGAGCACTTCAGCACATGCTCAATTTTAACAGATGACTCATGTATTTGGGGGCTTTGCTGATTTAAGAAGACTGCTCACCAGTTCAACAGATTAAGCTCTTATCCCAAATCTTTCATGATAATGGTCATCAGGTTAATGCTCTTCTCTGAGAGCTGTTTCTTTCTTGATTAAAAAAAAAGAGAGGCAATTCTGGCAATCTTGAAAGCATCTTAAAGGATAGTGGGGTGTGTGGGTAGTTCAAGGAGTGGGGAATAAGACAGTTGTGCTTTTCATTAGGAACAGAGCGGAAGGCAGACATGGGTAGACAGACCAGTTAGTTAACTGGCCTTATAGGCCTAAATAAGATTAATAAACTTGGCTCTAAACACCAAATAAGGGGTGGCATGTCATCACAAATCCATATATCAACAGAGAACCAGCAGATGAAGGAAAGAGAGACTTAGCAAGCCATCCTTTAATGAGTACAGATGGAGAAAAATGTCAAAAGCACTGCTGACCGAGCAGGTACCACCTACAAGCTTTCTCAGTATGCCATGCAGTTACAGGCTTAAAATAAAAATGCTGCGTTTTATACTACATTTTTTGCTGTGTAACCTTTGTCACCAAATGCATCTCCCTGAACTTGATTTTTCAACTGCAAATATTCCTTTCTCTGTCTCCATTGGCTAGTTAACAGAAGGGCTGATGTATTTTTGTCATTTCCCAGGTTCATTTTAGTTAGGTAATGGCAGTAAGTGTTTTTGAGAGTATTTTAATGTCCAACAATTTTAAAAAAGGTACATTTATTACCTAAGCCCAGCATGATTGCTGGATTGGGACCCTAAGTGCTGTTTGTAGGGGAAATCTGGAATCAAACTCATAACTTGCCAAAGAAATGTGATTTCCAAATATCTTGTTTTGAAATATATTTAATTTGTGCATTTTAAGCCCACAGAGAGTCTCTGGATGGTATGTGATGGTTAATTTTTTTTTTCAAAACATTCAATTTCATCTTTAACATTTAATTAGAGCCAGCTCTGCCCTGATGGTTATAATCATGTTGAAAGTCCATGCAAATTCAAGTCCCTCCCAGAGGAAAGGGCCTCAGTACATACCATTGATGCCTTTGAGGAAAAGATTGCTTTGAAGTGATGCTGTTCCTGAGCAATAGCTCAGTGAACCCTAATGTAGAAAACAGGTTTCCAATTCCAAAGACACTGCTTGTTGCAAAGACCATGGCCTAGGAGGCCCTTCTTGCTTTCCTTGTAGCCTCTTTTCCTACAACTCTCTCAATATGGATCAGACCATGAATGTGTGCGAAGGAATGGTGGCAGTGTGGGAATTAGAAGTTAAAAAATTGATCCCCCCCTTTGGACCACCTCTGAACGTTCCCAATTGTAAGAACAGAAACACTGTTTCTCAGATAGTTAAATATTCTCCCTTGAAACATTCCCTTTAATACTGTGAAAGATCAAAGATCATTAAGAGACTATGTAGGCTTAAAATAGCCTTCCGTAATACCTCACTATAAAGGAGCCTATAATCTCTAATAATATTAACTACTAAAGAAAATAACCTCTTCCTCCTGCTAATAGAAATTCCATTACATGAGCCTAATTCAAGAAACTAAGTCTTGTTGCTGGAACTCTTGATCTTCCTCACCTCCACCCTCCCATACTATTAAATACACCCAGTTGTTCTGCCACGTCTAATATGATACCGTAAATTCTTTGGGCAGGGACCTCTCTCTTTCTACTTGTACTCCGATCTACCACATCTTTAGGCACTGTAAAATAATGAATAGTAATTATCATCTAGATCTCACTTGCTCAGGCTAGGTTCCTGCCTATTCTGGACAAATCCTCTTGTTCCTTTTATTTACACTTCTGTTCCTATTGAGGAAAATGTGTGAAATAATTTGGAACTGGTTACTATGGGACCAATCCTGGAACATGGTGCAAAGAGATCTTAAAGCTGCACTAAGTGTGCAGCTAGGGGATTCCCTTGGCCTGTGGGAATCCTCAGCTGCTATAAAGCTGATGGGGCTGGGAATTCCCTTGGTGTGAAGCAATCCTCAGATGGTCTAAAGCTAGAATAGCTGGTTCTATGCCGGAGTGTGCATGCCTCCCCAAGTATGGGGCAAGACCTAAATGCACTGTGCTCCAATGAATCTTACAGGTGTATAGGCCCCTTTGGGGCTATTACAAACTGGTGCAATTTAGAGCAGCCCTTGGGTTTTGTTAACTTGTGCTGGAGGTCACGGCAGGCCCCACTAGAGAGCACTGGAAGCTCTAAGGTGGCTTAGAGCAGAGGATTTAGCTCTGTGAGTTTAGGGCCTAAACCTGCATTCCTTACTTGGGTAAAACTCCCAGTGAAATCACTGCTTGTAGAAATCACTGCTTGAACTGTAAGCCTGCTGGGAAGGACGAGAGCCTTCTTGCAGATCTGCAGAGTGTTGTTGACACTACATAAGATGATTAATAATGAACTAGGGGGATTTCCTCATTCACAACTGAAAATATTTAAAAGACTTTCCATTATGACAAGGTGATAGATCTTAGCACATCTCGACAAATGTATTTCCTAACTAGCAGTACTTACGTTGCCCATCCTTGTGTCCCATAACACATCCATATGTCCAGTCAGCCATCCACCCTCTCTGTATTGTGGCTTTCAGCATGATCTGAGTAGCCATTGCTGTTACAAATTTTATAATCAAACATGCATGTTCAGAAACACAACTTGAAAAAGAAGCAGCACCGTTCAATGAATTAACTTCTCTCAGCGATTTTAGACCCTCTCCCCACTAATCAGATGGAGACTGGGCCAACAAAGGGCATTTTTATGAAGGTTGAGTACTCTCTGAGAGCATTAAGTGCAAAATACTGGCTCTGAATGGAAGAATCTAAACTACAAACACTGCAGAATCTAAATACCTTCAGCATCATGTTTGGGGACGTCTACACTTAAAAATTTAGATTGACCTAGCTACGTCGCTCAGGGTTATGAAAAGTTTTGGGCCTTGTGCGACGTAGTGAGGTCAACCAAACCTCCAATGTAGGCTCAGCTAGGTCAATGGAAGAATACTTCTGTAGACCTAGCTACCACCCCTCAGAGAGGTGGATTAACTACACTGACGGAAAAACTCCTTCGGTCAACGTAGAAGGCATCTATGCTACTCTGCCACAGCATGTACCCACTGGGCTTTTTGTTTCCGCTTTCTGCCTTTGCTTTCTGTGGCCCTGAAAAGTAAAACCCCTTCTACACTACACTGCCCATTTTTATTTCCTTTGAACTCTTGTTAAAAGTCAGGACTGTAACATCACTCTACATTAGCCAAAATGAATTTGTCATGCAAATTTCAGGGTAAGTTTTCAAATTATGCTGCAGGGATTCAGCTGTGCAGTTCCAGCTGATATTATTTGGAGTTGTGCAGCTGAAATTCAATGCAGGGAATTTTCCCCTTAATAGGGCTGATGTTCAATGGAATAGAGAAGACATCACACAGGAATTCTTCTTACAAAAGAATTTTTCATTAAACAAAACAAGAGTTGGCAGTAAGCAGACACTGCCAAAGGGAGTAGATATACATCGAGTTCCGGTTCAACAGTTTCACATCAAGACACCCATAAACTCCTGACATTTTTTTTTTTAAGGCAAATGTTATTGGTCACACATTGCTGTTTCATGCTCTGGAAGCTGTATAACTGGAGGCAATCACCAATCAGTATATTTGAAAAGAAACAACAAAATGTTTCTGTCAGTTCCTGATGAACAGATTGTCTACAGGAGTGAGCATCTCCCAGACTTCAGGAGGCAAAACAGTGCCGTCATTCTGCTCAGTCCCTGTAAGGAAGGAAATATAACACCACGCACATTGAATAGGTGGACTAAGATACATTCTTCCTAGCACTTTTCATAGAAGTTCTAACATTACATATTATAGGAGAAGTGAAGAAGGCAGCGTGAGTAGGCAGCAGCCTCATTGTCAACATTCGCCTTTCAGACTAGCTACAGTTCAGACCAAGAAAACAGATCAGCTTCGAGTCAGATATCACACTGCATAATGCCAGTTAGGGACTGATTCTGCACCCTCACCCCCCGGCCACTATACACTTCTCCAGCAGTGCATAGGGGCCAGACAGAAGCCTCAAGTGTTGGGAGAATTGCTTGGGTACAGGAGCTATATCAGGCTAATATCTGAGGCCTTATATACCCCTCTCACAGCCCTCAGAGAAAGGTGGAGTAGTGTAGCTCTCAGTGCTATGGAGGATTCTGTTGTGTAATCCATAGACAGCCCTGGGGAAGTTACTGTAAATTATGCTGTGGGCTGTACTCACTGCGGTAGCAACCTCAAATCTGCCCTCTGTCTCTCCCTGGCTTGCATCTTCTCTGTTGTGCCTCCCTGTCCCAGATCACTGCATGAGTTCATTGCTATTCCTATATGCAAATTTATGCCAGAAACTGACAATACTAGTAGATTACACCTATTTCATTCTGAAGGATCCCAAAGTGCTAAGCATATAGTCATTAGTCACCCAACAATAAAAGGCAGCAAGCTTTCTACAGTAGCAACAGTATCCAATAATCTTTAGGTAGGGAAGTGAAGAAGAATTTATCCAGGAATAAACTCAGCAGGAATCTAGGAAGGCAGAATGTAATCACCCAGCATGAAAGGAGACTTGATTTAGCACCCCCTGGTGTTACAAAAAGTGTCATGGGATTTTAATTGAGCCTATGTGTTCCAGGCTTTGGTGTTACATATTATCAAAAGATGCTGGGTAAAATTTTCAGGAGCGCCTCACAGCCAGATTTTTAGAGGTATATAGTCACTTAAAGATGCCTATAGGTGCCTAGCAGGATTTTCCTAAAGGTCCTAGGTGTTTTTTAAAATCCTAGTAGGTGTCTACCTGCATATTCAGGCATCTAAATTCCTTTAAAAATCTGTCCCTAAGTGAGTTAGGAGACTAATTCCTATTTTCAAAAGTGACTTTGGCACTTAAAATTCAGATCCTCAACTATTTAAACACCTAGCTCCCACTGATTTTTAGATTGATTTCAGTGGGAGTTAGGTGCCTATATACCTTCGAGGACCTGGGCCTTAGTCTTTCAATGAAATTGCAGCTCTTGAGTACCTAAGTCACTTTTGAAAATGGCACTTAGGCACTTTTGAAAATTTTACCCAATACCATTAAGCACAGAACACTTGAGCATCAAGTTGAGAGACTGATACAATGATTATTCAGAGGAAAGAATATCACTGACCGAGTCATGTGACTAACATGATTTCCTGCAGTAACCTGATCTCACGTCTGAAAACTGACCAGGTCCACTTAAACAGCATAATTTCACACTGCAATTTATCCCTCACTAATCAATGTCCATTAATGGAAAAGTATTCCCTGAAGCAGGCCAGAATGCTACTGGCTTCTACAATATTATAGTAGAGTGATTCTACCCATTACCTGCCCGTCGGAATATCCCCTGAAGTTAGGGTATTGCTTTTCCTAGGTCGCGGGTCCACTCGACCTGGGGTGGAGATCACCAAAAGGTCTTGAAGGCTGAACTGGGGACAATTTGTTTTTTGGAATACTGTTTGGGCACTCTGAAGTTTCGTTTGTCTCTTGTCTGTGGAGTTTCTGCTACTCAGATGGATTCTCCTGGAGTGGAAAGCACTTTCTGTGTAAACAAAAGTCAGATTTATATTCTGCAATCAATTTGCACCCCAGACCTCTTTTCCTAAAGTCCATGTCTATGTATCTGAATCTGAGATACAAAGGGAGAAGAGATAGAGGGACAGAGAGTAAGAATACTGTAGGGGCAGATCTGCTGTATTCTTACACTTCGACTTGCGGGTATGCTAAGATTTCCTCTTGTGTTGCAATAATGTACGTTTGAGGCACACTGGGACTATCACCCTGTGTTTCCCCAGAGATGCACTAGGCACTTAGATGATATGATACAAATGTACTCCATGAAGATAACACTCACGTGGTCTATTGATGAGATGAGGGTGGTGGCGAAAAGGGAATATTATGGCCTTCTCTCCCGGTGCGAAACTGAGTTTGCTGAAGAATTCTGACAAGATAGGTTTCTTGTCTATTTCAGGCTCTAACAAGTTTTTGTGTGATCTATGGACTTTTGAGTATGAGGCCAAGTTCTCCCTGACATGGGGCTGGTGTTGCTTTCTCTGGCATCCAAATGGCACCAAAATCTGAGTGACTGTGCTTTCACAGTAAACCACGCCAGTTGCTGTTGTGATTGCAGCCCGAGGCTGAGCCAATATTGGGAAAGGCTTTGAAGAGGAATGAATTGGATTATCAGATACCCTGGAACAATCCACTGGTGTTTGGAGCTGGAGGGGAAAATCAGAAAGATCAAGTTAATGAGGGGCAAGAGTCAGACTTAGCCCGATGGTACCTAGGACCAAAACTTTTCTAGTGGCCCCAGCAGTTTCTACTGGATTTGAAATTTGATTATTATTTAAAAAACTAAAGGCCGGATTCTCTTTTATGCTAATGCCCCCTTTACATTACTGTAGTGGAGTTTAGGAGCTACAAAGGGGGCAGAAACAACCGCAGAGAAATACCCCAGTTTATGGGGTTCCCAGGCCAGTGCAGAGCTGTCTCTATAGGAGAGAGGCAGTGAAGTGGGCACACTGGAGGAGGGAGGGGACAGTCTTAGCATACTGTTCTCCAGATATTATCACCTCTCACAGGGCCCATTTGGGGCTGCTGCAGCCAGAGCATAGGTTGGAGAATCCTTGAGGCTGCTATATTTATGCGGGAGGTTAGGCAGGCCAACAGCTGCTCCAAGATTCAACTGGGGAGCGTACTGCCTTAAAGTCATGTTTGCACCCACTTCCATTCCTTTGTGAAGCATAGGTTTGGAGAAACAGAGATTCAAGGTCTAAATTTTTAGCCCTTATGACTGAGGAGATAACTTCCAGCTTATGTAATGTAGCATTGTCTGAATGAAATGTCTTCAGAAAAACAGAAGAAAAATTAGTAAATTGTAAACTATCCCATTAACCTCAGCGGTGCTCCCTTGCTCATGAAGCTATATGCCGGACACCTTGACAGCACCAAGGAATGATTCAACGACCATGTCAGCAGGTGCAGAATGACAGTTGAATATAATTTTGGAAGAAAAATTAGTAAACTGTAAAAACTATCCCATTAACCTCAATGGGGTGCTGACTTTGCACTCTAATGATAATTTAAATGTCAACATTAATCATTTCACTGCTGCTGATTTTAGGAGCAACACCTAGCTATTCTGAGATTGTGGGAGGATCTGGCTTGCACACTACCACCACATTTTTTGTCCTGCTCTGACATCTGACTTATCTGATCATTGCTGACAAGGACTGATTTTGTAGCTACTGTGTAATCAGAATGGGCGGTATATTGATCCTGTTGTTTAACATAATAGAGTAGTTTCCATTAGAATTATACCCTTTGTAGAATAACAGAATTATAGAAATGTAGGGCTGGAAGGGACCTCAAGAGGTCATCAAGTCCAGCCCCTTGCACTTAGGCAAGACCAAGTAAATCTAAACCTCCTCAGACAGACGTTTGCCCAACCAGTTCTTTACAAACTCCAGTGATGGGCATTCCATAACCTCCCTTGGAAGTCTATTAAATAATTTAACTCTCTTTATAGTTAGCAAGTTTTTCATAATATTTCATTTAAATCCACCTTGCTGCAGATTAAGTCCATTACTACTTGTCCTAGCGTCAGTAGACTTGGAAAATAGTTGATCACCATCCTCTTTATAACAGCCCTTAACATATTAGAAGACTGTTATCAGATCCCTCTTCAATCTTCTTTTCTCAAGGCTAAACAAGCCCAGGTTTTTTAACTTTTCCTCATAGGTCAGGCTTTCTAAACCTTTTATCATTTTTGTTGCTCTCCTCAGGACTCTCTCCAATTTGTGTACCTCTTTCTCAAAGTATGGTGCCCAGAATTGGACATAGTACTTCAGTTGAAGGTTCATCAATGCCAACTATAGTGGAACAATTACCTCTCATGTCTTACATACAACACTCCAGTTAATACACCCATAGTGATATCAGCCTTTCTCAACTGCATCATATTGTTGGTTCGTATTCAACATGTGATCCACTATAACCCCTACATCCTTTTCTGCAGTACCACCACCAAGCCAGTTATTCCCCATTTAGTAGCTGTGCATTTGATTTTTCATTTCTAAGTATAGTACTTTGCACTTTATTGAATTTCATCTTGTTGATTTCAGACATTTCTCCAATTTATCAAGGTCATTTTAAATTCTAATCCTGTCCTCTAAAGTGCTGGCAACCCCTCTCATCTTGTTATCATCTGCAGATTTTATAGGCATACTCTTTACTCCATTATCCAAGCCATTAATGAAAATACTGAACAGTACTGGACCCAGGACTACTCCTGCAGGGTCCCACTAGATAACAACCTCCCAGTTTGACAGCAAACCGTTGATATCTTCTCTTGGAATACAGTCTTTCAACAAGTTGTGCACCCACCATTTAGTAATTTAATCTGGACCATATTTCCCTAGTTTGCTTATGAGAACGTTGGATGTGATCATGTCAAAAGCCTTACTAAAATTAAGATATATCATGTCTACTGCTTCTCCCTTATCCACTATGCCAGTAACTCTGTCAAAGCAAATTAGATTGGTTTGGAATGATTTGTTCTTGACAAATTCATGTTGACGCTATTCCTTATACCATTATTATCCTCTACGTGCTTGCAAATTGAATGTTTAATAATTTGTTCCGGTATCATTCGGGTATCAAAGTTAGGCTGACTGGTCTATAATTCCCTGGGTCCTCTTTATTCCCCTTTTTAAAGGTAGGTACTATGTTTGCCCTGCTCCAATCCTCCGGGATCTCATCCATCCTCCGTGATTTCTCAAAGATAATTGCTAATGGTTCTGATATTGCTTAAACTTGTTCCTTAAGTACCATATGATGACTTTCATCAGGATCTGCTGACTTGAATATATCTAATTTACCTAAATATTCTTTAATCTGTTCTTTCCCTGTTTTGGCAGTCCTTCTCCCCTGTTAATATTAATTGTGTTGAGCATATGCTAGCATTAAACTCTTCAGTGAGCCTGAAGCAAAGTAGGCAACAGACAGTTTGTAGGCTGGCTCTGGGGCCCACATTAAGTGTCATTTCCAGTCTGAGATGGATGTTTGAATGGACTGGAGATAGAAATATAGGCAAACTACTACAAATATATACTTACTAGTGTTCTGCTACTTACTATTAATCTTATGTTCATATCTGCTGCAGAGTGATGACCATGTACTGTGTGGTCCCTCAGGTCAGGGTTGGAGCTGTACTGGTCCGGGGCACTAGTTGAGTTCTGCACTATCAAGTTTGGCATGGAGCTGTAGTGCTGTACTGCTTGTTTTTCACGTGCATCTGAATACTCGTGAGTTTTGGTGTGCTCTTTTTGTGGGATGCTTGATTCCCCGTTAACTATTTCTTTCTTTGTTTCTTTTTCACCTGAGAAACTCTGACGCAGAAGAGGAGTGCCAGGTCCTGACTCTGAACAAAGATAATGCTGAGAATGGAAAAAAATAAACTAAATCTCATATGAATAAAAAGCAATGCTGTTGCCAGAAGAAGAGCTGGGGCCAGTTTCTCTGGTGTAAACAGCACGAAAGGGCCATATTCTGGTTGTAAATGGCCAGTGGAGAATTTCCCTTGTGGAGGGGAAATCTCCATTTGTATAAACCTAGGGGAGGCATGTCCAGTGCCACATGACCCCTCACCAATCTGGTATAGGGGGACTGCTGAGGGAAGGAGGAAACATTTTGGTAGTGTGGCACAGGAGAGCTCCACTGCACCAATCCTCTACTGGCATAAGGTCCCTTAGAGATTTTATGCCAGAAATAAAGTTAGAAAAACACACTAATTGATGCTGTAACTGGATCCCTGGTGGACCACCTCTGTGTCGGGCTGACCTCAGATAGGGGAGAAATGAGCACCAGTTATCTTGTCTTCAGCAGTGTTTTTAGAAAACACTTCTGATGTCTGACAAAAGGTGACAACCAGATCTAGGCGATGATATTTGCTTATAAGATGCACATATTTGCCTACATGAAAAGTCTGTAGATGATTAGCCTAGGGTCCCTCACCTGCATGAGTGGAGAAAATTGAAAGTTTGTGAACACCAGTGGAGTCTTTTTATATATAATATGCCCATCACCATTATTATCCCATCTCATTAGTTTTCTTGTGGATGTTCTATTTCTGACCTTCAAACTTCTATTTCCCATGCCCCAAGAAGTAGGAGAATTAGTGAAAAATCAACTGAATCTTCCCCTTGCATTATACCTGTCTTAATCCTTGTGCTGTAGCTGTCCTGCTCACTAACTTCTGTTTGAAAGTCTTTATCTTCTCAGACCCAGACTCCCCCAGCAGCTCTATCTTCTTCTCTCGCAAATGGGCTGTTTTCTGCTCGTGCTTCATTCGCAGCTCCTGTAGCTGCAGCCTGTAGATAGAGATACAAATGGGTCCTAACAGGTCTAAAATAGTTCTGATGATACAAGTCCCACGGACTGGATCTTGGCTACAAATTCTGCCTTATATGGAACAAGTCTGGCCAGATCTCGAGGCAACATGATTCAGAGTATTGAGCTCTGCGCTGAACTCAGGAACTCTGGAATTCTAATCCTGGCTTTGACATGGATTTGTGAGCAAGTCACTTAACCTTTGTGTGTCCATTTCACCACCTGTCAGATTAGGATTGATAATGCTCATTTACCTATCTGACAGGGCCATCTCAAAGAACCATCAGTTAATGTAAAGTGCTATGTAAGTGATGGCTATTATTATTTAACATGAATTCAGAATGCATCCTCCACCCTACCTAATGAAAACTGAGCTGGAAATCCTCCTTACCTAGCATGTTCTTCTCGTGCCCTGGAAGCTGCAGTCTCCTGAAAGAGTGAATTGTTGTGCTGGAAAAACTTATCATATTTGTCCAAATCAGATTTGGGGTAAATTCTGCGAAAGCCACCTAGGTTTTTCTCCTCATATTTCTCAGCTTGTTTCAACCAAGTGGCTTGGCAGTTTCTATACTTCTCAGCCCTGAAAAAAAAAATTCAGGTATAACCATTAACAAATCATGTGGGATACAGGCTTGGTACTAGGAATTTATGTTGCTATAACTACATTGCTCACATCCCTGAGCAAAGCAGTTATACCGACCTGACTCCCAGTCATTGGGATGGCTTCTGTCATTGACATAGCTACTACCTCTCCGGGAGGTGGAGTACCGGAGTCGACGGGAGAGTGCTCCGCGGTCGATTTTTCGTGTCTAGACTAGACACAATAAATCGACCCGGTCATAGATATAAAGGGAAGGGTAAACACCTTTAAATCCCTCCTGGCCAGAGGAAAAACCCTTTCACCTGTAAAGCGTTAAGAAGCTAGGATAACCTCGCTGGCACCTGACCAAAATGACCAATGAGGAGCTGGAAGGGGGGTGAAACAAAGGTTCTCTCTGTCTGTGTGTTGCTTTTGCCGGGACCAGAGCAGGAATGCAGGTCAGAACTCCTGTAAAGGGCTAATAAGCAATCTAGTTAGATATGCGTTAGATTCTGTTTTGTTTAAATGGCTGATAAAATAAGTTGTGCTGAATGGAATGTATATTCCTGTTTTTGTGTCTTTTTGTAACTTAAGGTTTTGCCTAGAGGGATTCTCTATGTTTTGAATCTGATTACCCTGTAAGGCATTTACCATCCTGATTTTACAGAGGTGATTCTTTTACTTTTTCTTCAATTAAAATTCTTCTTTTAAGAACCTGATTGTTTTTTCATTGTTCTTAAGATCCAAGGGTTTGGGTCTGTGTTCACCTATGCAAATTGGTGAGGATTTTTATCAAGCCTTCACCAGGAAAGGGGGTGTAGGGTTTGGGAGGATCCTGGGGGGAAAGATGTTTCCAAGCAAACTCTTTCCCTGTTATATATTTGTTAGATGGTTGGTGGTGGCAGCAATAAAGTCCAGGGGCAAAAGGAAAAATAGTTTGTACCTTGGGGAAGTTTTTACCTAAGCTGGTAAAAATAAGCTTAGGGGGTTTTTCATGCAGGTCCCCATATCTGTACCCTAGAGTTCAGAGTGGGGAAGGAACCTTGACATGGTGGCAGAGCGGTGGGATTAACTTGAAATCATTTTGAGATCAATATACTTTCAAAGCTGGAGGGGGAGAGAACCTTTATTTCTCCCCTCCTCCAGGTTTGAAAGTATCTTGTCTCCTCATTGGTCATTTTGGTCAGTGCCAGCGAGGTTATCCTAGCTTCTTAACCCTTTACAGGTGAAAGTGTTTTTCCTCTGGCCAGGAGGGATTTAAAGGTGTTTACCCTTCCCTTTATATTTATGACAGACCCCCATTGGATCGATCACTGCCCCTTGATCCAGCGGGTAATGTAGACAAGCCCATAGCTACCATCTCTCCAGGAGGTGGAGTACCTACGCCAACAGGAGAAGCCTTCCCTTCAGTATAGGTAGCATCTTCACTGAAGCACTACAGCGGCGCAGCTGCAGCATTTGAAGTGTAGCCAAACCCTCGGAGAAATCTCCAGAGCAGGAGTTATTTTCATTTCACACTGTAATTGCATCCCTAATCCTGTCTTCTTAGTTTTGGTGAAATGTAGAATGGTTCTCATTTATCTTCCTACATAACCTATAACATAAATTTAAAGATTATCTGCAAAGGCAAAAAAAAATGAGCTTGTCTTTCTGGTTTCCCTATGGTTGTTAACGAGGGCCTGAAATTTTATTTTATTTTTTGCTTGTTTTTTACATTAGAAATTCAGGAACTGTCTAAGCTGGAAGACTCTATGATGACTAAAGAACTAGTTAAATGATGCCATCACAACAACCAACAAAGTGAAAGATGAGCTATCAAGAGGGGAAGGAATTTTTTGTCAGGTTATTTTTGTTACTTTAAATGAATTGTTCAATGAAATGTTAATTAACATTTTGAATAAAGGAATACTTTGTTAAACATTCAGCACCCTCACTTTTTCAATTCAGTTGTGAAGAGCTTATAGTAAACAGCCCTTACACATCCCAGTGGTGTGCCAACAAACCAGGAAAGACCAGACTTTACATTCCTGGTATTCTGAAGGTTAAAAAAACAAGAAAGAAAAAAACCTTTTAAAATATCTGTGCAGGCCATCTGTATACATCATAAAGAAGCAAAAAAAAAAAAAAGGTCATAAACTAATTAAAAAACATTGTTTGCAGGTCACCTTAAAATTATGGCTCACATAATCTGAGGAAATTAGTTGAAGCTGTATGACAACACACCTGGTCTCTTGAGAAGAGCATTGCTTCAGGAGTCTCTCCTTTCCTCGCCGTTTCTCTTCTTCTAGGATTTTTCTCTTGTCACAGGCCCCTAAATTTATCAGAACCAAAGTGTCATATAGCAGCTGGTCCTTCACTTCCTTGTCTAACCAGGAGTCAGTGGTGAAGCTTGGAGAGTGATTCACCTGAAACAACAAGAATGTAATCTATTTGCTGCAGTTGAGATGCGATGGAAATTACAACTCGGGACATTAAATTAGTCTGAAATCTAGATTACTGGGGATTCCAGTTAGAATCTAGAGTTGGCAAGGATCCTTGCCAGACTTCAATGTATGATACAGGTGTATAGTAGGATTCCATAGGCCAAATTCAGAAGTGACATAATGGGTGGGATAGATTTGGGAGAAAACAGGTGCAAGTGGCAGAGTGATGTAGCTTGAACCAATTTAGTACTCAGTGCAAGATCAATAACATATTAATTTGATATGCTGCGAGGACCAAATTCAGGCTCTGGTATTAGCAAATGCAGCTCCCATTGAGGTTAATGGATACCCCTGGAAGATTCCTTTGTGCAAACTGGAGAGTAAGGCTGTCCCCATGAGCTAGATTCCCACATACAGGAACAGATTTAAATTTCAAGGCTACAGATCAATGTGACTGTCTGTGGGAATGACTATTATTAGTTTAAAGTCTGCTGCAGTTTCCACGGTAAACATCTGATGAAGTGAGCTGTAGCTCACGAAAGCTCATGCTCAAATAAATTGGTTAGTCTCTAAGGTGCCACAAGTACTCCTTTTCTTTTTGCGAATACAGACTAACACGGCTGTTCCTCTGAAACCTGTTATTATTAGTTTATCTGCAGTCTAACCCCCTCTGCTGGTCATCCATCAGCTTTCCAAGCTGATGGAATAATGTAGGAAATGCTACAGGATGGACTTTTGTTAGGAGATCTAGAGAAACGACAAAGGCAAAAATCGGTGTTAAGGAAGAGGTTGGCAATAGCAACTCATTTGGCTGAATTTGGCCCCACAGGCAGGGAAGGGTAAAAAAAGGATACCAGTTCATGGTATGGATTTGTTATGAGATCTAAGAGACTTTTGCTGTGGTTCTTACCTCAAGCAACCAGGGTTTGAGTTTGTGATCCAACAGAATATCAAATCCTAATATTTCAAAGCAAGCGCTACCCACAGTGTGGTTGGGGAAGCAAGTGTGATAGTTATGTTTGATAATAGGATGTGCTGATATCAGGGTTTTAATAACAACATCTTCTATATTCCGCCACATCTGGTCGGTATCATAGCTATGCTTCTGCATGTACTTATTAAAGGTGGAGAGCTTCCTATGAAGAAAAAAAGGAAGTTGGTAGCCCATATTAATGGCAAATCAGTTCACAGTAAGCATTTTTCTGTATGTTTCCATGCTGCTTAAGTTAAGCATAGAAATTTGGGCCTCATGGAGATCCACATACCCACAGAAACAAAATAAGGATTAACAGAACGAGTTGTTAGTCAAACTCTTGCATAGATCAATGCAAGAGCTTCTCAGACATTGAGGATGGGAGACACACTAATACGTAGGGTTTCAACCAAATATGCTATGAATGTCAGTGAAGTGTGTCCTGCCTGCCTTTACCATGTTGCTAATAGGGAGAGGATCCCAGATATATGGGAAGGGATTCCCTGTATGAAAAAGAAGAAGCACTGTTCTAATTAACCTCTTGCTCTTAGGACAATCCTATGCTTGAAAATTGTATTACTATAACCACATCAGTTGGGGGCAAGGTGATTTTTAATGATATAGTTATACTAGCATGAGCCCTAGCATGGACACAGTTATACTGGTATAAAGGTGCCTTATACTAGTATAATTATTCCTGTTCCTGTATGGGAATGGCTATACCAGCATAAAGCACCTTTATACCAATATAACTGCGTCCACACTAGGGGAGCTGTACAGCTTTAACTTAGAGCAGTACAACTTTCATGTGTAGACCAGGCTTTAGGATAGGAAATGGAGAGAAGCCACACATTATTGGACAGTGATCTAGGCCTTGTCTATACTACGAAATTAGGTCGATTTTATAGAAGTCGATTTTTAGAAACTGATTTTATACAGTCGATTGATCGTTCCCCTCTATTTGACGTTGGTGAGGCCTCATCTGGAGTACTGTGTCCAGTTTTGGGCCCCACACTACAGGAAGAATGTGGAAAAATTGGAAAGAGTCCAGCGGAGGGCAATAAAAATGATTAGGGGACTGGAACACATGACTTATGAGGAGAGGCTGCGGGAACTGGGATTCTTTAGTCTGCAGAAGAGAAGAATGAGGGGGGATTTGATAGCTGCTTTCAACTACCTGAAAGGGGGTTCTAAAGAGGATGGATCTAGACTATTCTCAGTGGTAGCTGATGACAGAACAAGTTGTAATGGTCTCAAGTTGCAGTGGGGGAGGTTTTGGTTGGATATTAGGAAAAACTTTTTTACTAGGAGGGTGGTGAAACACTGGAATGTGTTACCTAAGGAGGTGGTGGAATCTCCTTCCTTAGATATTTTTAAGGTCAGGCTTGACAAAGCCCTAGCTGGGATGATTTAGTTGGGGATTGGTCCTGCTTTGAGCAGGGGGTTGGACTAGATGACCTCTTGAGGTCCCTTCCAACCCTGATATTCTATGATTCTATGTCCACACTAGTGCATTAAGTCGGCGGAATGTGTCCTCACTACCGTGGTTAGCATCAACTTACAGAGCTGCCCATTGGAATTCTGAGTTAAGCTCCCAATGCCTGATGGGGCAAAAACATTGTCGTGGGTGGTTTTGGGTACATGTCGTCAGGCCCCCCACCCTCCCTCCCTCCATGAAAGCAATGTCAGACAATAGTTTTGCGCCTTTTTTCCTGGGTTACCCATGCAGATGCCACACCACGGCAAGCATGGAGCCCACTCAGCTCACCGTCACCATACATCTCCTGGGTGCTGCTGGCAGGTGTGGTACTGCATTGCTACACAGCAGCAGCTCCTTGCCTTTGCGGCAGATGATGCAGTAGGACTGATAGCCATTGAACATCTCCTGGGTGCTCCTGGCAGACCTCGGTGAGGTCAATCAGGGGTGCCTGGACAGACATGGCTATCTTCCTCTTAGAGCACTGAATGGGAGCCAGAGACTCCAGGTCATTCTCTTCTTTAAGTTTCGTCTCATGGAGATTCAGTCTTGCCTGGAATATCATGCGAGCTGGAGGCTTCTGCCTCAGGCTGCTCTCCCAGCCAGCAGCACTGTGCAGTAACACCTACCCCAGCCTACCCCTTGCTCCCATAGCTCAGGAAGCCTGGACAGTAGCAAGGAGCAGTTCAACTTTAAGATTAAACTCGATAAGTTTATGGAGGAGATGGTATGATGGGATAACATGATTTTGATAATTAATTGATCTTTAACTATTCATGGTAAATAGGCCCAATGGCCTGTGCTGGGATGTTAGATGGGGTGGGATCTGAGTTACTACAGAAAATTCTTTCCTGGGTATCTGGCTGGTGAATCTTGCCCATATGCTCAGGGTTTAGCTGATCGCCATATTTGGGGTCGGGAAGGAATTTTCCTCCAGGGCAGATTCAAAGAGGCCCTGGAGGTTTTTCGCCTTCCTCTGTAGCATGGGGCACGGGTCATTTGCTGGAGGATTCTCTGCTCCTTGAAGTCTTTAAACCATGATTTGAGGACTTCAATAGCTCAGAAATAGGTGAGAGGTTTTTTGCAGGAGTGGGTGGGTGAGATTCTGTGGCCTGCGTTGTGCAGGAGGTCGGACTAGATAATCATAATGGTCCCTTCTCACCTTAGTATCTATGAATCTATAGGCTGAGCAAGTGAAGAATGGTGGTAGAATGTGCCTTTGGACATTTAAAAGTTTGCTGGCGCTGTCTGCCGACTAGATCAGACCTCAGCGCAACCAACATTCCCATTGTTATTGCTGCTTGCTGTGTGCTCCATAATATCTGTGAGAGTAAGGGGGAGACATTTATGGCGGGGTGGGAGGTTGAGGCAAATTGCCTGGCGTCCAATTTTAAGCAGCCAGACACCAGGGTGAAGAGCACAGTAAGGCGTGCTGTGCATCAGAGAGGCTTTGAAAACCAGTTTCATGACTGGCCAGGCTTCGTGTGACAGTTGTGTGTGTTTCTCCTTGATGCAAACCCACCCCCTTTCTTGATTTTAATTCCCTGTAAGCCAACCACCCTGCCCCCTTCGAAATGAAGTAACTGTTGTTTTGAAACCATGCATTCTTTCTTTATTAATTAAAAAAAAATGAGATAACGGACAAGGTAGCCTGGGTGGGGTGGGGGAGGAGGGAAGGACAAGGCCACATTGCTTATTGTAGCTACACTAAAAATCAAACTGTTTGAATGACAGCCTTCTATTGCTTGGGCCATCCTCTGGAGTGAAGTGGCTGGGAGCCCGGAGCCTCCCCACCCCCGTGTTCTTGGGCGTCTGGGTGAAGAGGCTATGGAACATGGGGAGGAGGGTAGGCGGTTATACAGTGGATGCAGCGGGGGTCTGTGCTCTTGTTGACTTTCCTGCAGCTCCAACAGATGCTTCATCATGTCCGTTTGTTCCCCCAACAGATGCTTCATCATGTCCATTTGCTCTCCCATTAGCCTCAGCATCATGTCCTGCCTCTGCTCTTCATGCTCACTTAATTTTTTCCTGGCCTCTGCCACTGAATGCCTCCATGCATTAAGTTGTGCCCTACCAGTGCGGGAGGACTGCATGAGCTCAGAAAACATGTCATTGCAAGTGCGTTTTTTTCGCCTTCTAATCTGCGATAACCTCAGGGATGGAGATGATAGGGGGAGCGTAGAAACATTCTACGCTCTACGATTCTGGGGGGACTGCATGATCACCTGTGCTGCTGAGTGCTCCTGAGTTCGCCATGCTAACCAAACAGGAAATGAAATTCAAAATTTCCCGGGGCTTTTCCTGTGTACCTGGCTAGTGCATTGGAGTTCAAAGTGCTGTCCAGAGGAGTCACAATGGAGCACTCTGGGATAGCTCCTGGAGGCCAATACCGTTGATTTGCATCAGCACTACCCCAAATTCGACCCAGCAAGGTCGATTTTAGCGCTACCCCCCTAGTTGGGGGGGAGTACAGAAGTTGATTTTAAGAGCCCTTTAGGTCGATGGAACAGGGTTCGTTGTGTGGACGCAGTCATTTTTAAATCGACCTAATGCGACTAAATTTAACCTAACCCTGTAGTGTAGACCAGGCCCAAGGCATTGCTCCAAGACAATTCATACTAGTGAAGCCTTTCTGGCACCAACAGAGCACTGCAAAAGAAACATTGGCACCGCTGGAGTTCCTGCTGCTATTGGCAAAGAGCAATACTGCTAAGAAGAAATGGATACCACTGAGGTCCTAGTGGCAATGGACAGGGTACTATGTAGAAACAGCTAGAAACATGGTGAAAAGAAAAGAAAAGGACTGGGAGAAGAATGTGGGCAAGAGGAAAAACCTGACTGATCATTATATATAGATTTATCTACATTAGACAGCCAAACATAACCACCAAGGACAATAAACAGAGTAATGTAATCCAGAAGCACCAGTTGCAACAAATGCATTGGTATTTCCAATTTGAAGGACAGTTCACTTTTTTTTCTCCTGCTTCTGGCCTCTCACTAATATTCATCTCAGCTTCTTTAAATTATTTATATAACCAATGACACAAAATACACTCTTCACTGGCTGCATGGAAAGAAATATTTCCTAAACATATATGAAAAAAGTGTGAAAATGCATATGAAGATTCATGAGAACAGACTAACATCCCCTGGCTGTGCTTAATGTTCTCTCTCTCTTACCTCTTACTTCCAGAATCTTCATCTCGGACAAAACTAGTACTGTGCTTGTTAATGGAATAATTAGTCAGGTGCATGCAGACGTCATCCTACAAATAAACGAATGGGTTATAAGGTGAGAGAGACATCTGCCTTCTTCACTCTCCCTGTACATGATGATACCTGGTCACACTACTTAATGCAGAAAAAAATCTAAGTACAAGACATTCAATAGCAGTACTTATCTCATCACTCTCATGAACCCAACACAGTCTTAAGATCATTTAAATGGGACCACTTGCATGAGTAAAGTCATTGTGGTATGCATCCAATGAAGTGAGCTGTAGCTCATGAAAGCTTATGCTCAAATAAATTTGTTAGTCTCTAAGGTGCCACAAGTACTCCTTTTCTTTTTGTGGTATGTAAGTGTTTGCAGGATCAGCCCCTAACTGCCCAGAAACTATTATGTAGTGTTATTGTGTGCTGTTAAACTCTAGCTATGTTCTACCACAGAGGTGGCTGCATTTCAGTGGTGGGTGAGATGATTCATCTATAACCTTACCCATGTCACTTTGATGAAGTGAGGATTAATTATTATTGTTTGTGAAGGACGTGCAGATCCTCAGATTAAAGGTATCGTAGCAGTCCAAAGCATTCTTGTTTCTCTGTGCCACAACATTTCAACAGATAGTTCCTGTTGTTATGAATTTGAATGGTGTTAATTTATGTTAACAGGGTTCTTTACTCACCAGATTGCTGTGTGAGGGGTCAGAGTAGGCTGATGTAGCAAAGCGTGCAAGGCCCTCATTATAGACAAATATCCTCAGAGGGTCACATGATGTCACAAGCACATAAATCCTCAGATCAAACTTAAAACGATCAATAATAAAAGGCTGGGAAAGAGAAGATGAAACTGAGTTGCTTATAGTTTGTTTGAAGTACAAGAGGAACATTAGTAACTCATTAACTCGAGACTGAGGTGATGAAAATAGCTGTACAGTCCCACCTACAAGCTGAAAAAACAAAACCAAGACATGCAATCCTTATAACAATACTTAGCACATACACATCACCTTCCTTCATCAAAGTGCTAGACAGATATTCAGTAATTAAGCCTTACAACATTCTTTGGGCGATAACAACACTTCCTTATCTATCTCCATTTTAGAAATTGGGAAACTGTCTGGGTTAAGACATTCCATCCAAGTAAGGGTAATTGCAAACTTTATGCAGAGCATGATCATTTTAATAAGATCACATGATCAGAACTAGTCATGGACACTTAATAGATCTAGGTGTTCTTAATATGCAAACAAAAATTTACATGTACCCCAGTATCCGGTATATAAGCAATTCTTGCTAGAGTACTTTTCTCTTATAAATGATGTTTCTTATAGTTATTCAAATATTGGGAAATTGGAGAATTTAAGAACAGTAATGTATTCTATCGTACTGAGCACAGCAGCAACACTATAATAGTAATTAAACTAATCCGTCATTGAGTTCTTTACATGTTCTGAGCATTGAACAAACTCATTAATCGTCACATAAAGTCTATGAGGTGGATAGGTTCCCCCCCCCATTTTAAAAGTGGGGGGAAACAGACATGGAACAGTGATTTGCTGAAAGCCACACAGTGAGTCAGCACAAGAGAAGATATAAACCCTAGCAGTTCTGAATCCCAGCTCCCCAGACCATGCTTTATCTCTCTAAAAAAAAATCAGTAATAAATAATAATGAAACATATTCAAAATGAAAGAACAAACCAGAGTAAAAACTTAGGTTCTGGTATTTACATTATAGGTGTCCCAAAGGCACAGGAGATCCCAGAGGCTTGAATGTGGATGTTTCCTTAGGAAGAGAGGGTAATGCCAAAATGTCAGCCAAAAGATTCTTGAGTAAAATAGGTTATAAACAGGTTTGTGGGACTGGGTACAAACAATCCCCTCACTCTCTCCTCCAGTTGGGCCTACGGAAATATTGTGTATATTTGAGAGCTAACTCACTCTACAGCAGGAAGGAGATTTCCCTCATCTAGTTAGGTTCATCCAGCAAAGGTGAATTAGCTTATATAAAAAGCTTATTCAAAAATTACTTAGGAACCCAATGGCACACAAAAGAGGAATTATTTCAGTGGTCATGTATTCAAAGGCAATGAGTGCTGTTTATGACTGGATGATCACAGGCAAGCAAGGCTGAGCTGAATTAAAGTCTGGTTTAATGACATAAAAGTAATCTTGGGATGTGGAATAGGGAGATTACCCTTGAGATGTAGAGCTGGCAGATCATATCCTCTCCAGGTTTTATGTCTTTCAAAGATCTGGTGATGAAGATGCCTCTCCCCTGACAGCCAGAGTCGGGCTTACAGATGTATGTCTTATGTTTCCTTGATCTGCTATAGGTCTGCAAATCCCCATAGCTGTAGGGAAAGATGATGCGGGGGGGGAGGGGGGAGAAAGAAAGAAAAGCAAGACAATCAGAATTACATGATTCTGAGGTTTGATGTCTCACAGCCTACCAATGCTAGAAACGTTTTGGCAGACAAATGCAAATGTCTACAGAACCAGTGATCACAAAGAAAAACACATCTGTCCCTCCAGAGCCAGGAATACAACCTGTTCTCTAGCTCTCAGTAAACCTTTATTTCCAGTAGAAGCAAGTTTGGAGTGAATCACACAGTCTTATGGGAATGATCTCTTTTTTGATTTTTAGAGAAAAGAGATTTTTAATATGATATAGAAATCATCTCCTCTTCCAAAGAGGGAAGATACTTCATCCCATTGAGTAATACAGCAATGGACTTCATCCAGAAAAATAAAAGGAATTTTATTCCATTCACTGCCAAGGGGCTTGCATCACCAGTGAATACATGGTGCATTCAGCTCAAAGCAACATCATTCTACTATGAAAATGTTCCTAGTCTTTTTCCATTACTCTGGGTAAAGAAAAGAGCAGAAAGATAATGGGTTTGATTCTCTTCTTACTTGCTCAAGTTTTACTTTGGAGCATCTTCATGGAGCTCTAAGAAGATACTCTCAATTTACACTGGTGTAAGAGGAGACTCAGGCCCAAAGTAAGGAAGGCTGACATAAAGGATGAGCGGAAAAAGTGAGGGTGATGGTGAAGAGAAGCAAGACAAGAGGAAAATCAGTCAGTAAACATTGTAAGGAAGACTCACTCAGCAGGAAGACACCAGGTCCTGGGAAAGAAGTTAAATTCTTTAGGAAAGAGCTTTAGCATCCTGCTCATGTTCCTGGCCAGCAGATCCTTCCTACATATTTCACTCATCCCAGGGAAGTGGTTGATTTTCTGGAAAGAAGTCCAGAGAAAAGGCATAATAATAAGCATCTTCCTGGTCTCTTGGTCATTTGCACTGGGGAAAAAAGTAATAATTTAATATCCACTCCACCTCACAGAGATAAGTACCTGATAACTTTTCATTTCCATTACCCGATCCAGTGAGACTGAATAGTCTGTCCAATAGAGGGTCCACTCATCATTCTCACCTGCTTCCCGTAAGCCATACTGCTTAGCAGCCCGACGCACTGCATCATAAGAAAAGAAACAGTTTCAATCATACTCGAAATTTAGACTTTAGAAAATTCTGTTTGGACTCAGAAGGAGATATAGAATCATGGTTCAGTTATACCACTCAGCTCAGATATCTATAGACCTCAGCTCTACTCTGAGTGGCAGCTTCCAGTCCTCTAATCTCTACGGATACGCTGCCCAAAAACCATCCATTTTGTCTGACAAATTGGACAGTCACTGGTGACTACTGAACAAGTTGACCTCTCCAGTATGCTGCTAGAAACTTCACACTAGCTAGCAAAAACTGCAGGATGGAGTAAGCTTGCGTTGCTGTTGCATTGGTCTTTCTGAACAACGGTGAAAAGCAGAACTTCTTGAAATAAAAAAATTAAATGATTCATTTTATGTGGAATGGAGCCATTTGAATTGGTTCCCCATGTTGCAAATCCACAACAAGCATTCAAATCTTGCACTGGCAAAAGTTCATGGATATGACTTCTTGCCTAACTTCAGTCACGAGAAGGGAAACATATTTGATGATCACAAGCTAGTGCCTTTAGACGATTTAGCATCATTAGCAGACTGTGCTTGAGGAGGGCAAGTAATAAAATACCAGGGGATGCTGTTGGTTAATATTGAGATACGCTAAGAGAGCTATGTGGTGCCAAATGTGTGGAATAACAGGAATGCTGTAGGTCAGGAATGAGTTTCACTAGTAGGGGAATCTTGCACAATGCTTGCCCAGACTGCATGAGGTTTCTAAATGATGCTTGCATTTGGTCATATTCATAAGCACTAAAATTCAGTTAACAAGTCACATGACAAAATAAATTCCATTTTAAATTGAGCTCTTTTTCCTAAGAGTAAATGAAAATATACATTTCTTTACATGAATCGACTGGGTCACAATTCTTTGGCTTACCTTCTACATTTGGGAAAGATGAGAAAGATACTCACCACTATCATACTTGCAGTTGGTCAGACTTATCACAGGTCATCTGGAAAAAAATAAAAAAAAGCAGAAAGACAGAGGCATACAGACAAGGACCAGTTTACGCTTTATGGGGAAGGCCTGGGAACTTTACAGTTGTACTTCCATAAATTTATGTAAAGCACTATCTAAATGATCATCTAATAGGCTAGTCACCAGGATTGATCACTGTTTTTTTGCTCAGTGGTCACTTCGAAAATTATTTGCTGGAGACAAACTAAATAACTATGCATTTAGTCTCTATAGAAAAGAAAGGCAGGTACTATTTAGTAAACTTCTCTGAAGACAATGATACAACAAGCACAATGTGAATGTTATTCCCTGGTTACATGGTCTCCCTCCAGCACATATCATCAGAGAAACTGGGGGGAGCAGACTGCTGGGATGGAGACCTGAGAATTCCCCATGCCTCCAACCTCAGCAGCACCCTTAATAGTATGCTCCCCGATTGCATTGGCTAAACTAACCCACTTTGCAGAACCCTCAGAAACCGGGGGCCCCTATGCTTTCAACTGCCATTTTTCACTCTGGGGCTTTGCCTGCAAGCCAGAATCCACAGCAAAAACTGTGGAATCCATAGCAGCAAGCTCAGCCTCCATTTTGCAGTCAGGCTCAGGATGAGAGGCCACTGAGGATAAGTCTATGCAGCAGCTAAACACCAGAGGCTGGCCTGAGTCAGTTGACTTGGGCTCCCAGTGCTTGGGCTGTAAAAATGCTCTGTAGACGTTTGGGCTGGTCTGGAGCCCAAACTCTACTGGGACCCTGCAAGGCGGGGGGGAGGGGAGGGGAAGATCCCAGAGCCCGGGCTCCAGCCTGAGCCTGAATGTCTATATGGCAATTTTTAGCTCAGCAACCAAGCCCCGCAATCCCAAGTCAGCTGCCCCAGGCCAGCTGCAGCAGTGCCGTAGGTCCTTTATTCCAGTGTAGATGTACCCCGAGTCAGGAGCCACAGAACCAGCAATAGCATCTCCCACATGTCATAAAGGGACACTGACTCCCCAGAACCCATTTCCCCACAGACATCTGGAGCCTGTTAGGACCCAGTCTCTGCCACAGCCACAACCACCCCACCCTGTGCTTTACTCACAGAAACCCACACATTCCCAGGTACAGGATCACCACACCAGAGGCAGCCTGCCACTGCTCAGGGCACTGATTACTAAGTGTTACCCCCAATGAAAACAGGCTGTCGTCAATGGCCACAAACAGTGTAGTCCGGGGTCCCCAAACGGTGGGGTGTGCTCCCATAGGGGAACAAGGAGGAACGTTCAGGGGGTCGCGTGGCAGGGCTGGGCCAGCCCCCATGCAGGGTGGGGAGGGAGCGCCACCCAGCCCAGCTGTGCCCCAGCCCAGCTCCGCTCTGCCCCCAGCCCAGCTCCAGCCACAGCCACGGCTCTGCTTTGCCCCCTGCTCCATCCCCAGCCCAGCTCTGCCCCCATTCCTGCTCTGTCCTCAGGCCAGCTCCGCCTCTAGCCCCAGTTCCTCTCCCATTCCCAGTTCTGTCCCTGGCTCCGTCTTCAGCTCAAGCTCTTCTTCTGAAAAGGGGTCGGCACCACCATGTTGCGCGACAGACACTTGACAAGATTACCGTACTTAGTGACGGACATTGGGGGCATTATGTCATCCAAGGTTTTTTGAACCACGGACCTCATACATGGACCCCAAAATTTTTACCACAGCACTTGTCCGTGTACAGACACGTTGCCGACCCCTGCTGCTGAATCAACTGTGCTGTAATGGGTGGGAGGGGCGTACGGACAGATTCCATTACTGGTAAGTGGGTGTGCAACAGGGAAAGTTTGGGCACCACTGGTGTAGTCACAGACCCCAGTTGTACGCTTCAGGGAAACTTTTAGAACCTTGGAAGCAGTGATTAATATAATAAAAACCTGCCTATGAAAGGACAGGAGATGGCAAACCTCTGAGGCTTTACAGCCCAAAGGAACCCTCTTAATAGACAGGTTTCAGAGGAACAGCCGTGTTAGTCTGTATTCGCAAAAAGAAAAGGAGTACTTGTGGCACCTTAGAGACTAACCAATTTATTTGAGCATAAGCTTTCGTGAGCTACAGCTCACTTCATCTGATGAAGTGAGCTGTAGCTCAAGAAAGCTCATGCTCAAATAAATTGGTTAGTCTCTAAGGTACCACAAGTACTCCTTTTCTTTTTCCTCTTAATAGAGTTAGTGCTCTCACCATAATTCAGCAGGTCTCTGGCCAGCTGCTTATTTCCTAAACACGGAGGGGCATTAGAGAGAGAGTGACTTAAGAAGCAAGCATCAAGAAAGGCACAACAGGAACAAAAACAACCTGCACAACAATCCCCTCAGCAACCACCAGCTCAACACTACAACAGCCTTGCTCATGTGGGAGGTATACCATACCCAATCACCTTTCCCACAGCTAGAACACACTCCTCCACAGAGGTAGAGTCTGGAGCCAAATCAACAACCCGATATCCCCAGGTTAAACCCTCAGAATCTGCAAGCAACTGCGGTCTTTGTCCCCCTGGGCTGACTGTGCCAACCAAGAGGGCAGACAAAAGCCGGCTAAGACAAAAGAAACCCTGAAACGAACGCCACAACAACCACAAAACTAAACAAACACAACAAAACCCAAACCCCATTTCCCCAAAACAGAAAAAGTGAACAGCGAAGCACACCCACTCTCAACCTGCCTCCCAAAAACTCCCACAATGAAGAGAGACACAGAGAGAGCACACAAAGTGGTTGGGTTCACTAGAATCACAATTTTCTGTAGACATTTCATACACTCAAAAAGCTTCAACTGATTTTTAATAATAATAAGAATTTGAAGGCGTTCTAACCAACAGGACAACAGTATGCAAATGAAATAAGGAAGAGACGAATGGAGAGATGGTAAGAGGAAGAAGGGGAGGATAAGGATTATGAATTTTACCTCTGATATTGCAGTCCCCTGGGGAAGGAAGAAAAGAGGACAGAGTAACCCTAATCAAGTCTCTTGTGGTATGGATTACCAGCTCCAGTAGTAAGGCTATATCAGACATCTGATGATGATTTCAACAAGAAAATATTATATTTTAACAACACAATATAATAGAAAAGAGTGAGCACATTTTACATAATAGATGTAGAAAAAGAATACAGTGATGAGCACTACAGAAATGCTTGTAAAGATAAAATAAAAAATAATACTAGAATACCAGAATACTAGAAAACCAGTAGTTATGAAACCAAAGGAAGAGCACTCTTTCTGTTGCAGTGGGAGAAAAAGATATGGCAGTTACTCAACAAGATTGGTTATTTAGGAATCAACCTAAGAATGGGATTCCCCAAAGTCGTGAGCCAAAGGGCAAATGGGCATCAACAGAAAATATTTATGCTCAGAAACTGTACATCTTCTTTTTCTCCTGGACTATTCTGCAACTCTTACTAGCATATCTATTTCACATCAGAATGAAAGCTCCCCTGAACTATGTTCTTTCCATGAACACTAGTGTCTAATTATTATTACTATTATTTATTATGGTAGTAACTATTACATGTTAGGTTCTTTCTGTACATTCAAGAAAAGACAATCCCTACTCTGAGTTGCTGACCACCTACAAAACTTAAAATCATCACTTTTTCTGAACACCTTAATTTCCCCTCCACTCCAACACATTTACCTATCCCTCTCACTACAAAAATTCTGTGTTCCTCCCCTTCTGCATAGCACCACTCTGAATACCCTATTCTCCAACATCTCTTCCCCACATTACCCTCCTCTATTTTCAGTAGCTCTACTATGAACATATAAAAGTCCCTCTTCAGGACTTTTACAGCCCTTTCAATAGTTATTTCTAACCTCTTTCTCTTTCTTTTCTTTTTCATGGATATGTTAGGATCTTGAATTCTTCTTTTCTTCTCTTCACACCCCACTGTATCCTGGTCTATGGTGTCCAAGGCATTGTCTTTTCTTTCTAGTTCTCTTGGTAAAAAGTCTAGTTCAGTTACATCTTTCTCATCTGACTCTTCTGTCTCCTGCTCCACTCCTTCAAAGGATCCATATTTTTGCAGTATAGCTGATGCCTTCATCCTGTGGAAACATCCACAACAGACCAGAAGAAAAGTGAACAGTGTACAGGGATGAGCAATAGTCCCATCAATCTTTTCGTGGATCCAGCTGCTTCCTCAAATACAGCTGATAAAACAGAATACTGTATAATTCCCTGCATATTCCCAAGTTAGGAACAGATATGTTCATCCCCTCCTCACAAGTCCACCCTCCATGCCTCTCTCCCCATTTCGACAGGATCAGATATCTACCTATATATGTATCTGCTTCTGTCAATAGTGATTCCCATCTGAATGGCATCTCTGCACAGGAAAATAGCTTTGTTTGACGCTGACGAATATTTCTAAACTCCTGCTATCTGTGATATTATGCTAATAGAACATCAGGAAGCTGTCTTGGCGCAGATTCTTAGTGTTATTGCAAGAAACTACAATGGAAGGATTAATAGCTTTTGTCTCACTAGAGTTAGTGCTCCCTTAACATCTTGTTCTTTCTCTCTTCCTAAAGGTTCAGTCCTGCTCAGATTTGAGAATTCAATACTAAAGAACTGACTGATATGCACCTAATCTGAATGCCAGCTCAGTGCTAACACATGATCAGAGGGATGAGATGAATCAGCGTCTATCAAATCTACAGCTAAAACCCTAGTCTAACAGATCAGGTTCTGCTGCAAACAGAAATCTTTGGCAAAGTAAACCGAGATTAACAATCTTTATATAGAAGTTAATGTTTCTTATATATCTACAGATTCTACCCTGCCCTTCCAGAATGGCGTTGTATTTATAGAATGCTCCAAGAGGTAAGGATTCCTTTCTCTTAAAGTATAAATAGCAAGTAGTTCAGAAAACAAACTCTATAAAACTTTATATTAACAAAAATATTCTCACTCTCTTTATTTAAAATATCATTTTTGTTTGCACTTACAAATTTCCTTGCAGTATTTACCACCTGAGTGGTAAACACTGTGCTAACTTTTGAGAACCAGAAAGTGAAACCAATCAGAAAGAAAAAGCGAAATTGACCAATCTATTCCATTATTACATACAAAGAACTGAATGAAGCAGGGGACCTGTGGAAAAAATAGAATATGATCATGTAATTAAAAACTTTTTTGTAATGCATGCACACAAGGGAGGTGAATTAGGATTGCACAGCCTAACTTTGAGCGCTTGACTTTGCAACTTTAATAATGTTATGTTAATGTAGTTTTGTGTATGTGATTTTTGAGGTTTTTAAAAAAACAAACTCAAAAAACAATTTCCATCATGTGGCAGCATATTGACATCCATATGGGTTATCAGCATGGCTGCAACCTTTAGCCCCACCACACGGATCTTTGCCATTTGAGCTAACAAGTAACTGTCACCCTCTATGTGGAACAATGCTAAAGGGGAACGGAACACTTAGCCAGTGGGTTTCAAATATGTTTGAAAAGATTGCCAGGGTTTTTTAACCTGGGCAAACCAACATGTTTTTCATTAGCCTTGTTCTTGGAAATGCCTGTACAGCTTTGGCTGAAATTTAAAAAAAAAAAAAAAAAATTTAGCCTGAGGCAGATACCCAGCATGGAAAATTTCAGCCGAAATGGTTAAAGTTTGGCAAAGTTATAAGCAACTGAAAACAGAGTCTTATGTTGGGAAATGTTGAGCAACCTTCATAATATGTGGTACTACCAGCCTGCCTATAATACAAGGGGATTAAGTGCAAATAGTAAACAAACAACATATGAATGATTAAATGTATATGTATTTTTAAAGTGCTCAGCTTTAATCATCTAAATACTATTAGTAGCACAACCAAATCTATAGTTAAAAGAACATGATTCACTTTTAATTTGACAGCACCTCTTTAAATGTTAACCTTAATCTCTTTACAAAATCTGACCTGGATTTCTAGCTCCTGTGCCCTGCCCAGAATGAACTTTGGGTTCTCCCCAGCTCTGGCCACAGCACGGAAAAGAAATCGCATGTTACAATTTTTATCTAGTAGTTGTCTCTGGGGTAAGGGAATCACAGACAGAAAAAACAACAAACACAAATCCCAATTGATGAAAGAGTGAAATATGCCAATGCCTCACATATACATGGATGGCCTGATTCTAAACTCACATTGATGTAAATCAGGAGTCACTCCACTGAAGGCAGTGGAGCTACATTGGAGTAAAACTGATGGGGGCTGTCCACAAATTACGTAATACATATTTTGGTGATTTTCAAAATCCACCCATCCCCTTGTAACACTGAAACAAACACTCTGTCATGCAAAATTAAGGACCACCAACCCACTAATATATGTTATGTTATTTATGGGCACCCCCATGTAAGTGAGATCAGAATTAGGCCCATTACCTTCCAGAAGTTTATGTGTTTCATTATAACCTGTCTAGATCTGGCTTTCTGCTATAGATCATTATGGCTTCTGTCAAGTTAGAGAACCCTGAATATTGTTTTTTGTATTGTCTCACATTTTAAAAAATAGAGCTTTTCAAAGGAAAGTGTAAAATGTATCTTATTGATCCTAGATCAGTACAGTTTTTTGAATTTTTTTTTTAGATAATATAAATGCAGTAGCTTTTTGGCAAGACAAAGAATGGTATAAACACCAATCCTGGAAGATTAACCACATGGATGACCCACATGCAAAGCCACAATTCAATAATTAGCAATCTTTCACAAAAGAGAAACTACAATTCAATCTTTCCCCAAAAAATTCCAATGGAAACAGGCTTTTAATATACCCATAACAAAAAAATAAACAAATGTTCCCCTGCAAAGTTTCAACCCAAATATTGCAGCAATATACTACTGAACAAATAAACCAAAAGATGAAATTGACTGCAAAATAAATGCAAAAAGTAAACAAACAGTGAAGAATAAATTAGATGTAAATATTCTTTTCATTTGTATAATCTAAAGTGTTGCCAGTAACACAGATGATGAATTTATATATAATTCCTGTGTTACTGGCAACACCTTAGATTAAAAACATTAAATTTGATATAAATTCTTTTCAATTGACATTGTCCCTGTAAGACATTGAGCCAAATTCATCCCTGCTGTAACTCCCTTGGGCCTTGTCTACATCAGACTTTTCTGTCAAAAAGTTCTCACCGGTGCTATATCTGGTTCAGCACCATTGCATAACAAATGGCCCTACTAGTGCAAACCAGATGCCAGGGGCCACTGGTATTTTTACTGTCATGTATTTAAGACTTGAACAGGGTCATAAGACATGGCATCAAAAATGCCTATGGCCACAGAAGTCTTATCTACTCTAGTACTTTTACTATAGCTACCACTGATGCAGCTAAACCAGTATTAACAACTGGCAAATTTTGGCAAAATCCCTAGTGCAGACAGCCTTAAAGTCCCTGCTATTACACCAGGGTTGAATTTGGTCCACCAGCTATAAATTGTAAAGGAAGGATTTCTAAAACCATTACTAATCATACTGTTTTGAGGGCTCGTGATTACATCAATGTTTGCAGGACAAATGCACAACATTGAACTATTGGAAGGTAATTGAAGAGACTCACTGATTCTCCATGGCTTTGAATCTTGTGTAGTCATTCACATCTGTGCAAAGTGGATGAAATATGCTACCACCAGTGAGTGAATGATTTGGTAGAATTATATATTCACTTCACACTTTTTGAATCGGTGTAAATGATGACACAAAGTGTCAGGGCCACTGAATTTAAAGTGTGCCAGAAAATGTTACTGTATTTGTAATATATAGTCTTTTTCTCTTATTTATATATAGTATTATTGAATCAAACTATTTTAAAAACATTTTATATCCAGGCCTTTTTTACCCCAATCCAAAGACTACTGTAGTCAATTGGAGCCCTTCTATTTCTTTCAGTGGGCTTTTGACCGAGTCCACATGCCACACTCATCTCTGCGGTATCTGAACATATACACATAATTCAGGATGATTGTTACCAGTACATATTTTCTCCTAGTATCTCAATTTTTTCATTTCTGCATTACTCATGCAGAACAAGCACCTGCTTGGTGAAAGGCAGATTAAACTGCAGCTACAGATTCTTCAAGCAGCAACTTGCAAACTTACTTTTAGAAATTTAATTATGAGTAATGTAATTTATAAAAGGCTTTTAGTTCACTTCCAACTAATCAGACAGTGGGGGTGTTTCACCAACACCATAGGTAAGCTTGTATTATCTACACAGATTTCACTATCAGTCATTGCACAACTTGGATAAATTACTGTACAATATATGTCTTTGTTTACCCTCTGTCTGATATCTATATGCACATCTTCCCAGGAGGGGAGTGTGAAGAATGGGAAGGGGAAATATTGTTGGGTAAAGAAGGTGGGACTAGAGACAGAAAGCGTGAGTGAGTGACTGAGTATAAACAACAGGCGGTGGGCTCAAGGAAAGAAAAGTGACACTCAATAAGACTTTCACGAACAAAGACGCACAGGTGTTCAGAAATTGCAAAGGCCTATGTGGCCTCAGCAAGAGTGCCAGACAACAAATGGCTAGAACAAGGGCAAGACATAGTCAGATACTGTGCTTCATACACAGCCACCCTGTCTAGGAGAGACAAGGGATTTTTAGTAAAATATTTATAATGTCCCTACTGCCTGCAGTGCCCACCATATTACTACCTTAGCTAAGGAGCCCTGCTCTCCTTCCTCCATCCCTATCCTGACAACAACGCTGTCCACTAGAGGTCACCAGTCAGAGGATTTGGTAAGGGGACAATTCAAATCTGGCAGCAGTAGGGAAAGCAACGATAATGATTAGGTACTGTTCCCAAAAAAGGGGAAAAGAAGGAAAAGTAAGGGACTGCTTCCTATTACTCCTCACTCTTGCAGCGGGGTGGGCCTGTCAGGTCCCTCCAACTCTGCTCCAGTACTGGGGGGCAATGGGAGAGCTCTGCGTCAGGGTGGGCTCTGCACTGGAGTGGATTCTGAACAGGGGAAAATATGCACAGGGGAAAATGCGGGGGAGCCCTGCACTGGGGATAAGGGGTGGAGGGACACTGAGGTGGGGGCTCTGCACTGGGGATAGGGGGTGGAGGGACACTGAGGTGGGGGCTCTGCACTGGGGATAAGGGGTGGAGGGACACCGAGGTGGGGGCTCTGCACTGGGGAGAATAGGGGGCGTAGGGACGCTGAGGTGGGGGCTCTGCGCTGGGGCTAGGGGGCGTAGGGA